TCAGGTAGTCCCTGCTTTTCAACAAACCAGCTATGTGTACTTAGTTAACTTTACTTCTCTATAGCTCAGCTCGCTCTCATGAACCATGGAGGATGATTTTCTAAGATCAATTACCATCTCTAGAAATCTGACTCTGATTATTCAATTTATTGACCCTGGCAGGGCGCACTTGGTAAGGGGTCCAGAGACAATCACACTTATCTGTTAACCCTTCCATACCCTTACCAAATAATTGCAAAAACACAGCCGCATACTCCCCTACTCAATAAAACAATAAGAAACAAAACAAGAAGTCAGAACCACAACTAAGAAACTGATACTACTTTGTATTAACTTTTGTAACTTTGTGTCGAAGTATGATGTAAATACAGAAATGTACAAAATGTATATACAGAAAAATACAAAAATTATAAGAGTACAGCTTAATGTATATTCACAATGTTCACACCCATGTAACCACCAGCGAGATCAAACAGGATTTTATTAGAGCCCCAGAAGACCATTCCTTTGTCCCCTTCCACATCACTACCCACCAGAGGTAACCACTATCCTAGCTTCTAATGGCTTAATTTTGACTATTTCAAAATTTTACAAAAGAGGATCATAAAGTATTTCTCTGTATGAAGATTCCACAATGTTTCCATGTAATTGGTGATTGACTGACAAATTGTTTCCAGTTTGGGGCTCTTATGAAGAATACTGCTGAACATTCTCGTATATGCCTTTTGGTGGGCTTATGGACACATTCTGTTGTACACGTACCTAAATGTGAAGTTGCTGGGTCATAGGATATGTGTATGTTCAGCTCCAGGAGGAACTGCCAAACAGCTTTTCAAGAGGTTGCAGTAATTCGCACTCCCATCACCACTGCTTGAGAGTTACAGTTGCTCCACAGCCTCACCAGTACTCAATACTGTCTGTCTGTCTGTCCTATTTTAGCCATCCTGATTGATGGATGTGAAGTGGTACCACATTATGGGCTTAGTTTACATTGTTCTAATGGTTAATGAAGTTAAGTACACTTTCTTGAGCTTATTGGCCATTTGTGTACCCTGTTTTGTGATCTATCTATATCATATGTGAAGGAGAAATAATAAGAATGTTCTCAGCCTAGATTGTGGTGGTTATTCCTTTCTCTGGGAATAGAAACAAGGATTCTGAGAAAAAACATCTTTGCCACCTTAACATCTTTGTTATTATGGCTTCGAATCTCTAGCAATGCATTTTGAAATGCTTATGAAAAACTATCAGATAGAAATAGTCCTATGAGATCACTTGAGGTACCACATTGAGGGGACACTTCACTGGCGACATCGAGACATGGGGATGGAAGAGAAATAATCGAGTCAGGTGGAAGAATTTCTTCATTCTTCTAGCGACCCACACACATTGCTCAGCTTCTTTGGCCAAGCAGGAGTTTCATAATTCCTCTAAAGTTAACTAGCAACTACAATGATGGATTCAGAATAGAGGATGATTCAAAAGTTCAGGAGACAGACAAGCCTCTAACATGCTTGTTGGAGGAACTCATCAAACTTAAAATGCCAGAAGAGATGGGCAACTCTTCTTCCATTGATACAGAGACTTACATGAGATGAAGGAACTGGGAGATGACACTTCTTCACATGAAGCTTCTATACCACTGTTTCTCTAAGAGTGGGGCTGGACCACTGGCATCAGGATTCCTTTAGATATGATAGCAATCTCCCAGTATGCATGCAATGTGTATGAGGAAAGTAATAAGTCACTTTTAAATAACTTGGCACAAGTACCAGTAGGAAAGCTAGCCATTATCTTGACTGCTAGGGAAAACTCAGAAGAAAGTGAGAAAAGGTGGAAGGGTTATAATAGTGAAACACACATATGGGGGCAGGCATGCATGCATACATACTCCAGTTAGAATATTTCTGGCTGGGAATTTTCCTTAATAATTCAGAATTAACCTATGTTTAAAATATTTGCAATATTTTCTTAAAATGCACCTCACCTCCAAACCAACAGGTCTCACTTTATTCAGGAGTTGAGTAGGTTGTTACTTGAAATAATTCATAAAACAGATGGAGTTGCAGACTTCCCTGAGTGAATCCTGCCTATCATTATGTTTGGGGTGGTTACTTTTAAAATTTTGAATTCTTCTATAAAGGTGACTTAGAAAAATCACCACGCCTCCTACACCTGGCAGCCTTACACTCTATGAAGGTATTTGGGTTCACAGCCTTTGTCCTAGAATCTCAGAGTTACAGATTAACCTAATCTAATCACTATCTTCCGTGTATGTCCTTTCTACTGTATCTTGTCTCTCCTTGACTACCACAGTGATGAGAAGGTCATTACATCCAGCGAGCCCACTGGAGGGAGATTCTTCATCTTGCTGTTGAACTACAACCAACTTTCTTATGATTTTGACCCATGTTCCTTAATTTTGTTTCCTGTCAGAACAAATCTATATCTATTTTCCTATGTACTAGGAGATCTAAGAGACTTTTCTGCTCAAAAATATTCTACCTTAGTGATCCTTTTTGATAGGACAGTGATTTTCGGAGTGTGATCAAACACATTAGCTTCATTTGAGGTGCTGAAAGTGTGGATTCCTTTACCCACAACAGAAGCTCAGAGAAGCTGGGCCCAGGCATGCATATTTTTTTTTTTTTAAGATGACCGGTAAGGGGATCTCAACCCTTGGCTTGGTGTTGTCAG